ATTATTGAATGTATTATAGCAATTTTTGAATGTTATWATAGCAAACACACACCGTATGTGACAAAGCAGTAATTCCACCTGAAGCAACACTGGAATAAGCCACGGAGGGTCCCTCTCGTGGACTGCAATGTGCCCCACCACTCTGCAGGAATGACAAAATCCCAAATGGCCCCAATATCAGAAATGCAGGAGCAGGAAGAGTTCTCTGAGCAGTCAGTGTGATCCAGCCCATCAGAACGGGCCCCTCGGAGGTCGTCGGTCCCCCCGTGCCCATGTCCTTACCTGGAGCATCAGCCACGCTTGGCTCTACTGACCAACGCGTTGGTGAGAAACACTCGGTCTGCAGCAAGCACTGACCTGCGGGGAGGCCCAGGAGGCTCCGTGGCTTTCCCAGGATCCGTGGTTGGTTGTTCCCAAGGAGCAGGCGGCCGTGGAGCCTCCTGCTTTAGCTGCTTCCTACCTGTGGACTTCCCAAGCGCCAAAGCACATATAAAAATAATGCCCTTCCCCAACCTAACCATGCACCAAGCCACTGTGATAGAACGTTCAGCCAACATAATATCAAAATATATTTTATTCTGGACCTCTTTCAGATCTGATTCAAATTACAGTTGTCAAAGCAATACAATGCAAAGGGAAACTGCAACAGAAAATGTGCCTAGAAGGGGTATAAGGGCCTTGGGGACAAATCATTGTGATGTAGAACCAAAATACATCATAAAGTGTAATTAACATGGTCCAGGACAGTATAGAACATCTATATCAGTCTTCTTCAGACAATAATCATGAAAACTGAACAATAAAAGTCCTTTAAACAAGTACAAAAAACTGTCATGGGCTGGTTTACACTTTTACAACAGTTGTAATTTAACTGGATAACTGAAGAAATGATGCAGACATTTTAATCCAGTGCTATAGGTAGGCTCACAGAATTAGACCCAAAGGATTTGCAACTCCAAATGAAACCATTACAACTACAATGTCAATGTCAGGAGAGAGAGAAAAAAATTACTTCTGTATTATAGAGTCACTGAGCTGCACACTGCAGTCTGTTAAGGACAAGATTGCAAAGTACACTGGACTAGCAACAACATGCAGACTGTTTTCCTGAATTTACCCACAAATGTCAAAAAACATTATGAAGTAATGAATGATTATTAGAAAAAAACAAAAACAAAACAAAAACATGCCTCAAGTTATTGTCAAGCTTCTAACGTAAAGGCAGAGGAGGAGAATCGAGTACTCAAAGCTACTGATCTGAAGCACTATAAACACTAAGTCTACACCTGCAAGAAAGGGCAGGTCTTCCCGCTGCCTTCGGAGTGGCTGCCCACGGGTGTTCCAGCACCTCCGAGCTTGCAACGGAGCGAGCAGGGAAGATGCTCCGTGGATCCCTCCCTAGGGAACGTGTCGGCATCTCCGCAGACATTTACTGCTGTCTCCGAAGCCAGAGCTGCTTCGAACGTGCCACCGTGCTGCTGCTGCTTCCTTCGGGCTTCGCCTGCTCTTCCCGAGGCCCCGCGGCCCACGGAGAAGGGGCCCTGGGCTAAACGCGGCAGGCCCTGCCCTGGTATCCCTGCTCCTGGTGCCACGAGCAGCTCCTGTCCCTGCGCGAGACCCTGTGCGGCCYGAGGCGCCCGAGCCCGGCCCAGACCCAAACCCTGCAGTGCCTATCCCGACAAAGCCGAAGAAAACGGGGTTTCTGACCCAGACTGGAAAAACTGGGTCCCAAGGCTCCCCTTTGCTCGACACAGCCATACAGCCTGTACATGGACAAGCTGAAATCCCCGCTTTGCAGCATTAACAAAATTCCCGCCTTCCTTCCGCAGAAGCGGAAGCACCGTTTGATGCCACAGCCGCCTATTCCCCTGCCACCTCCTGCACAAAAGCACATTGCAAGGTCTACCGTCCCATTAAATCCCCTAGCATGAGGTAAGCAGTGTAAGGAAAAGGAGTGCTTTTCTTTTTTTTTCTTTTTTTTTTTCTTTTTTTAAATTTTCCTCCCCTCAATGAAAATTAATTAAAATTGGTAGAAATCTTTGGCCTTTCTCTCAAGATGCATTAAAGTGTCATGAAATCAAGAAACATGCTTCAAAATGCCATGTCATTCTGACTGGTAACTACTACCTCCCTCCACCCAACCCAGAAAAAGAGGCACTTTTAGTGTTTCATATAAGATTTCCAATCGTCTCGTAGACACGCTAAGTAACCCTGCACAGTCCCAGAATAAACTGAGTTTATCAACATTACAAAGAGGCTAAAAAAAGCTTTTAACGAGGACCTAGTTACTCCCTTAACTACACTAAAAAGTCCACTGGCTGGGAATCTTTACATTAATTTAGAAATGCAGAAAAAGTCAGAAAAGAGAAACTGCAGAAACCTGGACCTAACCATGCAGAAATGAGGAAGGGGGGTTGGAAATGGCTGCACAGAAAGCAAACCCAAGAGCGGTTCATTCCTTACTGCGTCACTAACGGTGAGCCCAGTTCTTCCCCTTCCTTTCACCCTCTATCTGCCCACTAACTTGTGGAACTGGARAGAACACCTAATTTTTGTGTGTTCAGGCTTTGGAGAGAGGCGCAGCACGGTGAGCTCAGCACGTGCCCCCGCACGGACACGGAGCGAGGCCTCGCTGACRGGCGGCCGGTCGATGCGGGAGCGCTGGGGACACTGCCTCAGTCAGACACGAGGCCCCGCGCTCCGCGGCGCAGTAACGAAGGCCGCGGTTTCTCCTCCTCCTCCTCCTCCTCCCTTCCCTGCCTTCAGGCAGCTCTGCGTGTGCGGGTGAGCAGAGGTGACGGTCCCGGACCCCGCGGCGAGCACCTCCTCGCCTGCTCGTGAGCGACTGACACTCTGCTCCAGCAACGGGAATTACAACCAAAACAGCTGATGATTCGGAAAAACGGCAATACCCTAAAACACGGCGGTGAGGTTTGCAGCTAGTCACAGAACTCCACCACGATTCTTTAAATTGGCTGAAAGAATCATCCAAGAACTTTTATGAAAACGAATAAACTGTTCATAATAAAATACAAAAGTACTATCAAGAATCACTTCTGACTTTCAGATTTAAATTCAGTGCAATCGACAAACGCATTGCTAAACGAAAAATGCAGCTTAAACATACTCAAAACATTTGTGTCTATTCCTGGGAGCACAGTTTAAAATTATTGCACAGAATTTTTTTATTTTTATTTTTATTTTTCTTAATTAATGACAGAGGTCAGCCACAGTCATGGACCTCCAGCAATAAAAGCAATATTTCAAGTGCCAGACACTCAATATATTAGGTTTCCTACACACTGCAACTCACAGGGTAACTGCTTTAAACATTTGTAATATGTTCCAAAACCTTACAAGGAGCTGGCACTGAACCATCATGGATGACTGCCTACATGGATATGACTTTTTGCTGTCTTTAAACGCTGTGTATCACAGTACTATATGTCTCACTAATAACAGCTGGGGTACGTATAGAGAACGTATCGCTGATTTCTCTTTACCACTGGCAAATTGCTGCCCTACCTTAGCCAAACTCAGACTTGCTTCAAGCCGTATTTATTCCCTGGAAATGGTAGAAATCAATGCTTAAAGAACAACTGTTAAAACGTCAAAGCTGCATTATCTCGGATAAATCAATTTATATCTAAATTGGAGGAGGTGGGGGGAACAGAAAAAATGTTAGAGACTAGTAATCATAAGCCACAAAATTATTTGTGATTGAGATAGTGTTATAAAACCAATAACTTTGCAAAGCTCTATAATATAAACCATTCCTTAAGTAAAAGGCCTGTGACATAAATTTGACAACCTCTCTTTTTATAAATTTACACTCTCGGAGTCTTATGCAGGACATGATGCAACCTTTTCGACTACACATACGCGTAAACACAACCTCATGCTATCATTTACAAATAAAATCACTATCAGTATACTTTTAATCACATGAGCAGAAAAAGGTTTGCCATATACATCTGTCATTGTAAGAAAAATACTTGATATTGTAAACAGAGTAAAAGACACTATATAGTAGTGATTATTAAAAAAATAGCAGCTTACATCTACCCTCTATTTGGAAAAAAATGTAGTCACAAGATACAATAAACTGCAGGACTGGAGCAGCAGGGGAATTAGTGCAAGTATTCATCTTTTAAATAAGCTGAATCACTGCTATTAAAATAAACTTGAAGCAAGTCCTCTGTTTAAGATTTTTTTTAAATCTAAGGTAGTAAACATTTTGCCTCTTAATGGCAGTGTTATCAAATATATGCCAAAGGATTTTTTTAATAAAGAAAAATTACATGAGATACTTTTAATACTGGAGTTCGGTTACAGTTATACATCTAAGCTCCTACAAATAATGATGGGCATCTCTCAGAGAAGCTGTGGCATGAACCCTTGTCCAGAAAGATCGTCATCTCCTAAGCAATCAACCCTCTCCCTCCCAGCTATATTTTGCTCCTTTTCACTATAGTGCACAATTTAACCATAATTTAGCTATGGTCTCAAAGCAATAGAAGATGCATTCTTTCTTTCTTTTTCCTTTTTCTTCTTTTTCTTTTTTTTTTTTCCCTCCTTTTTGCATCCCCATTTTCTTTTCTGTATTTTTGTGCCCTTCTGGTCTTAAATTTGGCAGAATTATATCCCAGAAAAGAAACTACTGCATTTCAGTCATGTCACCAGAAAAAAAAAACAAAAAAACAAAAACAAAAACATAGCATTATACCCATTACTGACATACTTGGTAGATTAGCAGGACGTGCAACATCACACCTCTAAGATGGATTTTTTTCTCCTCTCTCCATAATCCCTTTTCCACCCTCTCTCTGTTCTCAAAATCATGCTCTGGGAGCCACAGAATGTACCAAACATTATCAGGTTCAATCTACCTCTTCAAAGAATGTGTTAAAATATCTTTCAAAGAAACGTGTTTTTGTGGGTTTTTTTGTGTATTTTTTGTGTGTTTTTTTTTTCCCAAGGTGAAAAAAATATATAAACAAGAAACTAATTCACTCCCTTACTTCATGCATCGTAAACTTAACCAAAACAAAACAGAAAACCCAATGTTTAAAAGCAAAGAATTAAAACTACTGCTGCAGATTTCTGTAAGTCCATTTTCTCTGTACACACAAACTGCTCAACTACTGAGAAGGAAAAACAACCCCAATCCATTGTCAGAATGGATTCCAAGGGGAAAGGGGTAATGAAGGCTGCCATTAGTATCTTCTGAATTTGGTTATGTATATGGGTCTGCTCTTGTATATGATATATTTCTCTCTCTCTCTCTCTCTCTCTCTTCCGTTTTTCATATCCAAAACCTTTAAATGTTATTTTGGGACACAGCAGATTCCAGCACTTGGTGAACAGGATTCACAAGCTGTGACAAAACTCTGTCATCCTCTTCAGGGTGTAATTTTTTTTTCTTTTTTTTTTTTTTTTTTTTTTTTTTTTTTTATATACAGTATATGTATATATTTCTTATAGGTTTGGCTGTAGTGGACTGGCCATGGTTCAATTGGGACTATAGCAGTACATGGGTTGGGGACAGTCATTTTGGCTATGTACACATTCATAGTCGGTCCATGGCTTCCAACTAGTAGCGCTATTTCCGTAGGTCTAATACACAAACCTGTAAGAAAAATAAATACAGGAGTGGTACGTTATATAGTGTTATATATTTATACAATTCTGTCTTAAGCATCAGAACATAATCCATAAACCAGATCAAGCAAGTTTAATCACAAATCTATTATCAACTATTTGCTAATTAAAAAAAGACCAYGTGTTTTGTATATAAGCACCAAGTCAGACATGCTAAGGACAGTGTTACCTGACAAATTACTATGAGAATATTAGAAACATTTAATGCAAGTTGTTTGCTTTTTATTTAATGTTAAATGGCTGATAACCTACTTGAATCTAGTTTGTGAAATTCAGCAAAGTTAAAAATATTATGCGGGAAAATAATAGAATTACTGAACCATCTGAACTTACTGAACCATCTGAAGCACTTGCTCCAACTTTGTCTCCTGCTGCATTCCAGCAAACCTCAAAAATTCCTCCTGTTCCCCGATAACTGTGAACTAGGGCACCTGTCTGAAAAGGGGAAAAAAACAAAACATGCAATTACCAGAACAAAATTTACATGAACAAGTATAATTTGAAAAACATTTACAACTTCCCATTGCTTTTAAAAGTTGGAATTTTAAAAGTGCTTAGGATAAAGTTTTCCTCACAAAACACCCTCAATCCTGTTTGGATCTCTAGGCCTTTCAAGGGCAAAGCTGGGGGTTAYTGCAAGTATTTTCAATTATTAAAATGAACCTTTCAAAAAAAMCCAAAATATTCTATTTCCAGTTGAACGTGTAACTATTTTCGGTGTTTTTTTCCTGCAAGAATGCTAATAATATATATACAATTATTACTTTACCAAAAGAAGTATGTGATGTGGTGAAGTTCAGACAAAGCAAAACCAAACCAAGCAAACAAAAAACCCCAAAGATCACAGTACCAAAAAAATAACAGGTATTGGACTGCAAGCAACGCTCAGGCACTCGCTGAGAGAAACTATAAACGTACACACACTAACAAGAACAACTTTAGAATAAAAAGAAACAGAATCAGACAGTAACGGCCAAGCTCTTGGTAGCAAAAACATGCTGCTGCAAGGAAAGCTCTAAGAATATTAACAGAAAAGACAGAAAAATAAACTTCCTAAACAGAGACAGAAGAATTATACCTGCGTATTCCAGATGTGTACGCATTTATCAAAGGAACCACTGGCCAGGTACCTGCCATCAGGACTGAAAGCTACACTGTACACAGGTTCTTGATGTTTTGTCAAAGTATGAATACAAATTCCTCTGTCTACATCCCATAACCTAACAGTAGAATCAAAGGATGCACTGTCAAGGGAAAAAAACAAAACAAAAAACAGATTAATTACATGCAAATTTTGCATAGTTTTGTATTTAGTAGATACATACATGATTAAGTACCCTTAATCCAACACTTACCCATCCTATCCAACACCTACATGGTGTTGGAACACTCTATGAGCCTACATATATAGAGAGTTGAGCAAAACTAATGCTCATTTTCTTAGCAGGCCTTTAAAAACAGGATGAAAAAGTACCTTGCTAACATAAGATTGGCGTTTGGATTATTTGTTCCTGGACCTGTAGGACTCCATTTGATAGTATAAATTTCTTTGTTGTGTGCTTGTAAATCATGGACACAACTGTCTTGTTTCATACTCCAGATCTATGATGAAATAGAGGAAAACACAAAGCCATTTAATACAGTATCATACTAAAATACATTTTATATCTTTATCATTTGCAGAGTCTGACTTGCTACCTTTTTGGCCACTGCTGGATTTCATTCCCTAGGTATCCTTTTCTTTCGCTTAGTTATTAATACCTGAGGTGCTAATAAAGAGCACAAGTACAGCCTACAGAAACCAATCTGAACGTGCTAGCTGCAACCTGTGGAAAAGTGCTGGCATGTTAACAGATGCTAAAACAAGAAGACCAACATGGATATGATCTGTCTTAGCTGACAAAACAGAACAGTCCTGTTTTTAAATGAAATTCTTGCTATACAGATTGAGTGAAATAGAGAGATAGTGAAGTGTTTTTTTGTTTGTTTCCATACAAAGTAGTAGATGTTTCCTGCAAAAATTGCCATGGCATTTTGCTGGCTTTTTCAGGATTTGAACTGAGCAGGTGCTTGTTCAGTACTGTGCACAGAGGAGGAGCTCCTCTGGACTGAAACTCCCAAATATCYCTCAACAAAGAAAACAACATTGTTCTATAAAGATTTCATGCTGAGGTGGCCTCGAGGTGGCTAAAGTGGAGCTTTATCTACAAATAATTGGTCTTCCAATTAATCCTTAACAAAACGGAAAAAAAAAATTATTTCCAAAATGGTTTAGATTTAAAATATAATCCAAGAGATAACAGCTTCTCTGCAGAGAATTAGTTTTTAAAGAATGTAAGGCCATAAGTAACAYATGTTATTTCACATGCATAGCATTCACTTTGTGTATTTCTGTTTTACAAAACTTCAGAAACACACACATACACACACACAAATGCTAAGTTGGTGAAAGCTCAATGCCAAATTCCATCTGGAACACAAGCAGAACTGTAATACTGAAAGCACATTTACAGAAAAAGCAACCCTGGAGAGACTTTGGATTCGGTTTTCTGCTCCCCGTTGGCATCTCTCTGCTCACTGAGACACAGCACTGACAGCCCAAGCCCTAGGTTGGAAATCATTTCACCTCAGTTCAGCTGCTTCAGGATTAAACACCAGCTTAAGCCGGTTATTTTGACTCCATCCACTGCCAGTGGGTAACACTGACATTTTCAGAGGTTTATTCATCACTCTAGGCGTAGACACTTAAATTAAGAAAGAACAAATTGCTCTTTAGAGGTGCTAGACACCTTCTGTTGACTAGAGGTGTCTAGACATCTATCTTTAGATGAGAGACTTGATGTTTAAACATTTCTGTTCAGATAAGGTGACTTCCACTGCAGCTGCACGAGCGCGTGCCAGCGGAGGGGCTCTCTCTGACGACTCACTCAGCTGTTCCCCGTCTCTGAGGAAACAACGGTGAGACAGATGAAAATATCCTTCCCAGAGGCTGCCAGTGGGACAGCAATAATGCCACACCAAGGCTGGAACTGTGCCAGACAGAACGCTAAGCAGCCCCTAAGCAGGAAACATGAGGAGCAAYGGAAAACCATCTCTACGATGGAAAAGGGACAGGCCTGCATGCCTTGAACAACTTGAGTTTCTTCTGGTGCATCTAACCTGGTGGTATTTTTGTATGGACCTCTGGTCCTTCTCGAAGTCATATGTATGCATTACGTTACCCTCTGCATACACAAGTTTGCCCCAGTTCTACATGGCAGAATTTTGATTTGACGTGAAAAACTGCAGAATGACTCTTGTTGTATTGGTACAGCCTCTCAAGAAACAATATGGCCAGGATTTCAACTAGAAAAAGGGGGAAAACAGAAGAAAACCATCAAAGGAGCTAGTCACCCGTTCTTGCATGTGTTACATACCACAAATTACAATTTTTCTTTTTAACCCAAAACAAACAAGTAGTGTGAGAGGTTCATGATTAACGACCTGATTCTGTAAACACCTAAAGGCACCTAATAAATCATGCTCAGGGTGGCAGTCTGTAACAAGTTCTCTGGACCAGGCCTTGGCTCTGATTAACAAAGATTTGCTAGGAATGCCTAATCTTGCTAAAATAAAAACAACGAATATTGGAGGATATAGAAAGCACAGTGACACTTCTGTATTATCCAAGCCAACGGTGCACACTGGAAAATTCTGCAAAGACAAGGCAGTCTACAGCACCATCACCAGAACTCCAGTTACCTTTAGAGTCATATCATCAGAGCAGGACGCCAGAAGATTACCAGTAGGATCCCATTTGATTGCATTTACTTCATTCTAAAATTGAAGAGTGAGAATAAAGTTGAATATTCACTTTCATTATAAATRACAGAAAATGAGTTTATGAAAGATAGATGCTAATTATAAGTATGTGTATAATTATCAGTACTTTAACATTTAATTTGCATTCCTACTTCCACTTCAATAAAAACTTCCTTTTGCTGTCTATTCATCACATTTTTCCACGCATGTTCTTACACATCATTCCCTGTTCGCAGTCAAGTCTTACAGCTACTATCTTTCTCATTGCAAAGTTTGCTAATGATATCCTGGAACTGCTAAAAAAAGTCTGCATATGGCAAGGAATTTTTATTATTAGGTATTTTATAAAGACTGTAGTTCCCCTATAATCCTAACAAGAACTACTATCTCAAGCATACTGGGACCCCRACCTCTAATTAATAATAAAAATATTGCATAGCAACCACCATTTTCTGCTTAAAAACATCATATAGCAACCATGATTTTTCACTACTTACTGTGTGACCCTGGAAGGTTTTGATGGGCCTGTCTTGTCCTAATTTACAGACATGAATACACATGTCTGTACTGCAAGAGGCAAACGTGTTGTTGCTCTGCCAGTCAACATCTAATGCTGGTGCTAAAAAAAGAAAGACACTTAAAACTATGGTATGTATTCTGCAGGGGGTTGATGTGCAAATTTAGCGTGCAACAGCTTAGTACAAATGCCAACAGGAAGCAACTGTTAATTTACAACAGTTCTAAAGACAATCAAACACTTCAGTGCCATGAGAAATGCAGCTGAAAGAAATGAAACAAGATTTAATAGGAGACATTAAAACATGGAATATATCTGAAATGAAACACTTGCTCGGAATATAGTGCAGCTGGACAACAAGCTACAGTTAAGTCATCTAAAAACAAATCTCAAGAGTCAGCCTGAAGAATAGGTCGCCCCCCAAAGCTCAACACACTGCCATGCAGGAGATGATCACCACTAACAGTCCATGTTYGTGCTCATGGATAGGAGCCAGGAGAAGATTAATATATCTATATATTTTTCCCCCAGCTTGTTAAGCTGTGTTACTTGATCACAGGCCATATATTCCATTTGGTGAGGACGAGGACAGGCAGACAGCATGTGGAATCCAAGGCAAGTAAATCAAGCAATGACGGTTTTGACTGCTGTCAGGCCACCCAAAACAGTGTGAGTGGAAATGAGAGCCTTGAAGGCTCTCCAGTGATATATTCCTCATCCTCCCTGCTCCGTTTCCCGGCTGACTCTGGCAGGCTTTCCCAGTACGCAGCTGGATGTGTGGATGTGGACTAACACAGTCTGCGGCTGGTGAGCAGAAACCCTCAGCCCAACCTCTTGATTGGGCTACCACCGTACTAGACCAAGCTAGAAGTACCTGGATCACCTCATATGACTTCTATTTAACTGCAATAATATTGTGAGTTATGAAGTTAGAAAATCAAAACTACTCCATCCTTGCTTAAATTCATGAGACTGTAAACAGAGCAGTCAGTTCTCAAAGACTGTAAGATTTTTAAATGTTGTGAACAAATGCACTGAAGTTCAGACTTTTTGTTGTTTTTAAATTACTTTTTTTGTTGTTCTTTGGGAGATGGCAACCCAGAATCTGGGAAGGGAGAAAATAGTAATAATWAAAACAAAAATATCAAGACTTACCAGAATGAAAAGGAAACTGTTGCTTGGCTTCCCCAGTGTGGGCATCCCAAATAATTGTGGTCTGTATTAAATAGATAAATAAACAATAAAGGGACTTCCTGCAATTGCTAGTTTTCCCCCACTCCCACATTCAGATGTAGTAGATTACCAAGTCCACTCTCCATTTCCCAAACCTACTCATAATTAATGTATCTCTAGTGTTTGATCCATTACTAAAGAACATGCTGGAAGATATATTGTGTATAGTATTTACAACAGAAAAGATACAAAATATGCAGTAACATCCCACATTTGGGGTGGATTTTTTTTTATTTTTTTTTTCTTCTTTCCTCTTTTCTCTTTTTGGAGCCAAAGTTACTTCCTTACTCCTATTTATGTTCCCCTAATCCACTCCTCAACGCACAACTGCTTTTATTTCAAATACTTGTATAATGATATAACCTCCTTTGTCCCTAAGGAGAGCTTACTATAAACACTTAGGTTTTCATAAATAAGTYTCCAGGTTTTTAAGTATAGGTGTAATGTTGTTCCAAGCTCTTCTCTGTCAACCTTTCTGATAGATGGTTGATGCACAAAAGCCTATACAACAAAATTAATGTTTTATAACAGCTATATCATATAGTAACTTTCCTGACCCCCCTCACAGCAATCAATGACAATTCTGACACTGAATTCAGGGGGGATGTGAACTGACTGTGCACGTTATTTATGGAAAAGGAAGCAAAAGGTTGCATTAATGTTTTGCTAAAGCAGAGTACTTTCAGAAGTATCATTTCAGCTCTTTCAATGAGTTTTACTGACTGAAGCAATGAGGCTTCTCTTCCCTATGGCAAATTTTTCTGCAAAATAATGTTGAAATAACCTCCACAAAGACTTTAAGACTGGCACAGGCCAGCACAGCTGCCCACCCTTCTCTATGCTTTGAGACATACACTTTCCCTTTGCTTGTGCCAAAACAAGCATTTATGAAGCTGGGCACTGAGGCAAACCAGGTTAAGAACAACGCAGATAAACCAGCTACATAAACAAATGGAGGATAAAGTCCAAGACCTTTTCGTGGTATTGACAGCTAAATTATTGTGGAACTGTGGTCTATCCTGGGGTTGTTCTTATTAAGACAACACCAATGTCTGCCTTTGCACCTTGCATCAGTAATAAACTGAGGAAAAATTAAACAAGTATTTTTAATCTTGAACTCTTAAATCTATTCCCAATCACTGTGTGTCCTCACTACTGTTTATGAAATTTCCCACAATAGCAACAGCTTTGAATTTAAATACTTTGCAAGTCTTTACATTTGTTTAGATGCAGAAAATAAAAGACAGTTAAAGGATGCTCACCACAACTTTGCACTACTGTCACCTCCCCAGTTAGACTCCTATTTTTTTCCTATCTCTAGTCTATTTAATCACTCTTAGGCTGGATTGCTGTGCATCAGCAATCAGAATCCACTTCTCCAGTGAGATTTTTTTCTGAGGTTTTCCATCAAGTGCTTTACTAAATTTTGGATGACTTAGTTTTATGAAAGACTAATGTTGCTGTGTTCAATGCACTTGCTTTCTAACTAACTGGAAAGAGATGAAAGGACGCTAAAATCTAATGAATTAAAACACTTGACTGAACTATTGCAAAAAACCAAGAGAATTTAGGTAGCAGGGTAAGTTCTTTCTAAGTACATGTTTCTTKCTCTTGACTTTATTTCAGTTTAGTTGCTTTCTACATTATTAGATGTTTCCAATTAAATTAGAGCGGTGAAGTAAAGAATTTTAATTTTACCAAAGATCATCTCACCTTGTCCACTCCTGCACTTAAAATGAAGTTTCCTTTCTTGTTCCACTTTAACGCAAATATAGGACCTTTATGTTGCCCTAAGGTGCTGGCAAGATTACCTGAAAATTTATATTGATATGAATACATTAAAAAAATTAAAGTCACAATAAGGAAAATTTACTGGAAATTAAAAGCATTTCACTTACCATCTTTAGTCCATATCCTTGCAAACCCATCATAGGACCCAGTTGCTAGAAGTGTACCTTCACTCTGCCAGCAAAAAGGTTATTATTATTTTTACTGTACAAAGCAAACTGCAGGCAGAGGCGTCTGCATAAGATTAATGAAATTCACTCAGTACACTGCAGTTTACTATAAAGAAGTCTCCAAAGTACAACAGAAAAAAATTAAATGCAATCCAAAACTAGACATATTTTAAGAGCCATAGAAGAGGATGCATCAACACTGTTACTTCAACTTTCACTATACAAAACCACAGGTACAACTTTCTCAGAGCATTTTGAGCACCAGAGCTTCTACTTACGTTCCAATCCAGCGATGTCACATCTTTGTTGCTCGGTACATCCTGCCCTCCCTCTCGTATACAGTGTCGAAGTACCAGCTGTGTGGAGCCACTTGTGCTGTTTTCACTGAGGTTCCATATCCGTGCTGTTGAATCCCCAGATCTACAAAACAGTTGTGAGAATATAAACACCTTTCTCTATTCATTTCTTTCAAAAAAGGTTCGCCTTCATCAGCACAGTGAATGTTATAGTAAAACCAAATTAGATGGCAGCGGGGAAGGTTTTATTTTAATTTATTACCATAAGCATACAAAGTATGTCAGCAAATGCTGATACGTTTTACTTGAGGACACACGTTTTCCCGGATGGCTGTGCTTACAAATGTGAATGAGTTTGTTTTTCTGTCTGTACTTGTCTRTTTTTTCTCGATTTTTGAAAGCATGCCAGCGTTCATCAAAAGGCATCCAAACCATACCAGTAGCTGGACTCCTCCAAGCTCACAGACCAGAAGAAASAGGCCAAAGGGAAAATAAGATCAAAAATTGATGGCAGAACGGCAGAAGCGAAACTGGAAATATTATGACCAGCAGATAGTAGACCCTGTTGGCAAAATCCAGCCCAGGGATGTGGTGATAAACACCCTGTGTTAGTTGACATACATACCCTGAGGCCAAGAGGTCACTAACGGGATTCCAGGCACAGATGAACACTTCAGATTCGTGGCCACGCAGCACCACTGCCTTGTTGGGAGGGATTTCAACATCTCCATCTACTTCCATCATGTCCGTGTGATTATCTGCATTATGGGAAACAACAGTAGAGAGAAGGGGATTTTAATATTTTGAGATAATACGTTTTAACTACTGTATGATTAACATTCTTTGGAATTGAGCACAATAATTAATTCACAATACCACAGACGGAGATWTGGACAAAATCTCCTGTACCTTTGTTTTTTAAGATCCAATTTACTGATGAAACTTACTAAGAAACCTTATATTATTTATGGCAAGACAYCTTCCTTCTAAATGTCAGTACCTACATATATATGCTGTTGAAAAACTGAAGCCAAAAGGTATGTTTTGCCATGTTAAAAATATATATATCTATATAATGACTTTAAAAGTATTCCTAATTTGTCAGACAWCATGCTGCACAGAACAGCATGCTAGTTTTCTATCTGCTCTTTAAAAGACATGAATGATGTATTAGTTGTTAAAATTTTCTTTTCAGCAATGTCAATAAAATGCAGGTTGAAGTTTTTTTGAGACACTTTATTTAACAAAATAATTTTAATTAATATAATCACTTTTGGTGATAAGGCAAACTGATAGCAGCTTTTTAAAATGCATTGGCAAGTAYTGTGGCAATATATAGTATTTTTGTGTGGAAGTACTGTTGAATCCATATTGTTTTACAAAATATACTGTGGGTAATTCATCTGACAGAAGTTTTCCTGCCCCCTACCATCAGTGATTAGTTGTACTACTAAAAATAAATTCACATAGAAAATAAATGCAAAAGAATATAAACATTGCTAAACAGTCACCTGCTTATTCATTCTGGATAAAGCAAAAATCATCACAATTATAGTTTAATGTAAAATTAAGGCTTTCTGTCACTCTTTGTATATGTGAGAAAACCAAAAAGGCTATTAGAACGTATATATTTTTATAAAACACTGTTTCACTTAAAGAGAATCCATGTCTGTATAATTTGCTGCACTAGCCAGTAGGGGTTGCTGGTATATCATGTTTAACAGTAACTGTTACGTCTTAGGTTACTGTATACAACTTCCAGTTAACAAGGAAACGTTCTTTAGAGATTTTTAAATGTAAGCATCAAAGAACAGAGCTTCTTCGTTTAAATCTAAGATTATCTTTCCAAGTGTATTTATTGTACATAATAATGAAATCCACCTGCAAAATGCAAAGCATACACACAGCTTGATATGAGCATTCTGTCAGAAATGCCTCTGCTTCAGGTGCTTCTGTGCTCTTCTGTTATTCTCCATTTAAAACAAGAATTTTAAATTTGGGCTTCCAGCATGTTTGCAAAACCTCATTTTAATATCTTTTTCTTCCCATCATAAGCCTGATTTTAAGTTATGTTCATTTGGCCACTGATGATAAATAAAAATCCTTTGTGAAAACTTTCATATGGYAGGAAAAGAGCAGAGAGAGAGTCCCTTTGGAAGAGAGACTCTGTTCAAGGGCATACTGTGAATTACTGCACGCAGGAGTCCACCTCCTCCTGCCCTACAACAGCCAACATCCAACCAGGGTCAGCCCAAGGCGAGACACTATCTGCTAGAGCATCACTTGCCCAACTCCAAGCTGCAGGGTCACAAACACCCACGTACAGTTGTCTCACAGCACACAAGCTACTACTGAGGCTTTGAAGAGCCCCCATGCTAAAGGAAAGGCAACGACGACACCGAGGAGAAGTTCATTTCTGTCTCCGCTTACTTGCTATAGTATGGGCTCCGTTCTCCTCTCCGTTTGCGGTGTTCTCCCCATTTTTGGCTGATCCCTGTTGGTTGGTGGCGGCGGCAGCGGCGGCGGCTGCCGCCTGTTGCTGGGCCAGTTTGTCCCGGTAGGCCTGTTGTCTCGTCTGCACCACATCAGGCATCACGGCATCTATCAGCGAGAGAGACTCTATCGGCCTACCATCAAACAAGGTACCATCCTAATTCACAGTAGGGGGAAAAAACAGAGAAGACAACACCAAGTATGAATTAACATGGCCGGCAAAAACCCAAAGGAAAATCAAAGATTTTTATTTCATACAATAAATAGTCAACAGTTGCCAAAGGGCGCTGGAAGCAAAACCCTCAATATCTCATCATTTTTGTGGTTAGGACTGGAATTTTAGACTARAGTTAAGTGGCCATCATAAATTTGTTAAAAAGCCACTGCAGACCTCTGGCAGGGGTTCTAGGACCCAAAGTTACACGCTTTGCATTTGCAAAATTCTGTAAAGCTCAACTCTGTAAGCTATCTATGAACATGATTTCAAACATGAGTGGCTGCAACAAAATCTAATGGTTTGTTTGAAGAGCTGCAAACATTGCAAGTCAGGTCACTGGCTTGTGAAGTTATTCTATCTTATTAAACTAATACTTTCCATAAACACATTATCTAGAGAGTTGACTAGTTTTCCTTCTTATTTTAAACAGTGCTGGCACGCCTGCAAATAGCAGAGAATTTTATCCTGAAATGGACAAGACTCAGTTAAAAATACCCTTATACATTTACTAGGGCTTTGTAAGGATCTATTCTGGGGATCTAGAAGGACTCCTTGTGATAAATATAGGCTCTCCCTTCCACTCTGATAACTTGCTTTATTTTTCTGAGGCTTCCTAATGGAAAGAATTTGTTTCACTGGGACTGAGAAAAATATGTATCAACAGAAGACACAAAGGACACTGGAAAGACAGCAGAATTAGTGAAAAATCTGTTTTTGCCTGTAAAATAATACAAAGGCTAATAACCCCCGGACATAAACATGAATGGAAATTGAGGGTATCTGCAGTCTCAGTCAGTAAGATACATAACTTTCTGTACTGAGAAGAAAATCATTTTAAAATCAAGTTTAATAGATTCTGCTCAGCCTAAATTAGCCGGTAGAGGCAAAAGACAAAGCAGCACAGACCTCTTTCCTACCACACAGAAACCCCCTCCTCTATCTGCCATTCCTTGCCTTCCCTGGGCCCTCATTATTCCATTACAAAGAGGGGCACTTAAGGCAGAGCACAACTGGCTCCCACAAGCCTATGGAACAGAAATCAAGAGCTTGTTYGTCTCAACTGTTACTGCATTGCACTTTTCTGGATTTACTACAACATTATAGTAGGGTAAAAACTCTACAGACAACGGACCTTTAAGCAATGAGCCAGAACACCATGCCTGGTGTTGTGTGGCTGCACTGGGCAGAACCCCTACCCAGTTATGTCACTCCATTCTGGTTCCACCACTGGAGTCATGGTGAACACCAGCAGTAAGGAATCTGAAGTAAAAGTAAATAAATAGGATACAAGAAAGTTAAGAAAAAGCACTAACAGTCAAACTTACTGCAAGCAAGGACAGAATGTGCCTACAGGCAAAGCCTCCTTACCTCGTTAATACTGACTTCTGCCTCTACATACTGCAGCCCTTTCTGGATGATGGAAATCAGAGCAGCTGGTGGCACCAGAGCACCGTTTATATTAGACTGGCTGATATGGCTCTCTATGCCAAAGGTAAATGCTGAATGGGAAAACCCTGAAGACAAGGCAAAAACGTCAGAATTGATGGACACACGGACATCGCTGCTTCTCAAGCTACTGTGAAATCTGCTGTTTACAAATCTAAGCAAGTTAATACAAAATTATAGCAAGCTTATGAACTACGAGAAACTCATTCAAAACCTTCTAAACATAGTTAAGTTTATTTCCTCTTATATGTTTCTAGTTAACATGAAAAAAGACAAAAACTAGGTTTGTATATACACACAGAGCAATTATTAATTCTGATGTTCTTAGCAGCAAAACATGTGGTTAAGTATAAAAGGATAAAACATGTAACATGCAATAATTTTACCCATAATTTTACAAAAATTTATACATTACATATAAACTCCAAGATTCACATATTATTTTCCTGCACTCATTTATTACTCATAAAAAGAAAATGAATTAACTTCACAGTACATTTCTCTCATAATTGTGTATACTTTGGCAATTAGAAGTACATCGGTATCATTCACTGCTAATGGTGTGGGAAGCACGTAATGGTGTGACACGAGTAGTAGCTGGCTATTTATTTGATTGCCCTAAAAATGCAGATTTTACCTAGGAAAAAATAATTCTTTCAGCAAAATAAGATTACTCTCATCGAAATGTCTCTGGTTAATGATGATCGTGTTGAAATATAAACAAGAGAATTACTTCTTCTAAACCTAGGAAGTATCTACAACATTACTCTCTAAAGCCAGAAGTCTGTTCTGTGCCAATATGAAAAATAAATACATTAAAGGCTGATCCTTTTTCATTATCAAAAGGGTGGAACCTTCCTTCAGGTCAGTGATACTGCCAAATACACTAGGACAAAATTTGAAAAGCAGATGGAAGTGAGAAACCCTGTTAAACTGCTTGCCTGGAGCAGAGAATTCCCCTGAGCCACCAAAACATTTGTCACGGCATTTCCTCCCCCCTTCTCAGATTCATTTCTTCACATAAACCTAATAATTTGAACGGCTACCGCATGAGGGCTGATTTCACTAACTTAGGTGAAGGATTCCTACTCCAATGGGTTTTTTCAAAAGGCGGCCTAACAGGAGACATTTCAGTCAAGCACATTTGAGAGAGAAGTCTAAAGCCACCAAACAAAATTGAGAAGCTACAGGCGGATGTTGAAGCAACAAGGTACCACACACATTAAGGCTGATCCCATACACTGCTACCTGAAGACCCCRGGTTATTTTTTCTTTAATACTTGGATTTGTTAAAGTTATTGTTACGATCGTGTTCCCTCCTGTGAGCTGGCAATCATCGTTCCTCAAGGCACTGGGACATGCCCTCATTTTCAGTCATCTCAGCTTTTGGAAGTTTTTGAATTGTCTAAGGGAATGCTAAAGTGTTCTTGCGTTCCACATGGCAGGAAAAAAGCTGCTTTGCAAGCCTGACATCATTCAACTCTCTTTTGCTCTTACTACTAAGTAGCAGGAGACTTCTGCTATATCCTCCCAGAAAGCATCCTGCAGGGAATCTTTAGGGAATCCAAGAGTCACTCCTGTAAAAAGGAGATCTGTTTATTTGTATTTAGATTCAAATGATGASTCACATGGTCTCAACAGCTATTTCTTCCTTGGAAATATAGCAAAACCTGCAGAAATTTTATCATGCAAGAGCAGCTCGCAGGACCATCATCCTGAGTGCTTCAGAAAATAATGGTGCTTCTAAGAGCTGTCATTTTTTTCCAAGTGGCCCCAAAGGATAGGGTGCAAAGYGTCACTTCCATCCAGCAGATAAAAACATTCTCTAACAAAAGCTTTTCTAGCAATTGAGTGGGTCCTTATTTGGTTGACTGCCATCTAAAAACTCCAAATGACTAAAACCAATTAAGTTAGAGGCAGTAACTTGGCAGGAATTCATTCCCTGTTCAGAAGACTCACCAAGGAACAGTTCAGACAGAAGTACAAACCTACTGTCAATACAGTAAAACAAGTTTTCATTCAATAAACCAGGCAGATGAATACCAAATAAATTATGCATTAATAACCAGAACTGAGTAACTCACCTGACTCTTGCAAGTATCTATATACCAGGAAGTTAACCTCATCACTGCTTATACTCATCTTTATTCCCAGTTAAACCATGAGGTCACAACAAAGGACACAACCCTGAAAATGAAAAAATAGGTCGATTAAACATTTTCAGCAATTAATGCGTGTTCCTCAAAAAAGCTGTTTATAAAGCAAATGACTTCTTGGCAGCATTGACAATCATTTCATTTCACAAGACAAATAAGCCCACCACAATCCTTGTCTCACCACACCACAAAGGTAACTTAAATATCAAAGGTCCATATTCTCAATTGCATGACATTATTTCAATGTCATGACATTATTTCAATGTCATGCAATTGAGAGTTACACCAAACATATGTTTTCACTACATTATCACTATGCAATACATTTTTCAAGATTTGTAAAGAGGCGCAAGATGGGCTGAAACACGACATGTTCACAGAAACTCCAAATACTTCCACTGAAAATTACAGAATATACTGATCATACGCTTTGCAGAAGTGATCCATAAAGTTTGTGACAAAGTTTAAAGAGAGCATTTTTGTTAGAATTCCTTCAAGGTTCTAACAGAGTCTTGAACAGAAAAGAAAGAGTCCTATTTGATGTTAAGCCTCACTTTTGAGAATTTTTTCATGACTCCTGAGTATAGAAAAAACGCTTTCTGTTTTCATGTTTTTAATTTGACATCAAGTAAACACGTAAAACCTTCAGCTTCGAGAACAGAGTGTGAAACACAATCCATTTCCTATCTAATACTGCCTGGCACTTTTCAGCAGGAGACCTCCAAGCTTCTCATTCAGTTGCCTTCTACGAAAGCCAAGTGAAAGCAGCTAAGTGACCTTCCCTAGGTTACTTATGTCCTAAGTGAGAAGTATGACCTAGATTGTGCGTAACAAGGGACGGGAGAACAGGTTGTTGTGACGCTCCGAGTGGAAAGTTTGCACTGCGACCTCTGCCCTCGACGTCTGCACGGCCGGGTCACTCGATACGTGCGCAGGAAGCGGGAGGCAGGAGCGCAGCAGGGAGCAACAAGAACCTCCGAGAGCATTAAAAAAGGGACAAGTCGCACAAAGCTTTACATATTCTTTCCGGGCAGCTTTTTTTTTTCCCCTAACAAGATTTCTGAAGGAAACAGGACAAAGCCATGCTGCTTTATGGATAGGAAATGYCAGCAAAAAAAGGGCAATGGACGGAGTCCAAAGGCAGTTCGGGGTGGAAGCACCTCCGTCCAGCACGGCCCTGGCGAGGGTTAGAGCTGGGATCATCACGCACGGGAAGGGGGGACTTGGAAGGGGAGTGGGACAGGAGCACTGAGCTCCATCGGGAGAGCAGCTCTACCCTCCTTACAAAAAAGGAGGGTATAGAAGACCCTCCTTGAAAGGAGGGTATAGAAGACTTTTCACGTTATGCATATAAAGAAACAGTAACTCTTGTTTCATTGCCTATTACAGATCTTAAAATCTCCCTGCATCACCCAAAAGGAGGCACACAGAAATCGCACACGAGCACGACTGCCACARGAGAGACAAGGGCTCCCCACGCACTCCCAGTCCAGCTGCTCGACGCGCCACACAAACCCATCTGCCTGGGGTTATTTAGCCCAGTAACTCGATAAGAAAACTAAAGTTTTACTTGCCGGTCAAAAGCGCTATTCCCCCCGCCCAAGTCAAAGGAGAAAACCGTCTCCAGGTGGGTTCCTTAGAGAGCTGTAGGTGAAGGTGAAGACCAGCCCGGCCGCTGAGTGAAGGCAAAGCCGCCTTCCTGCCTAGCTGCCCAGAGGTGGCAGTGCAGCACCAACTTCTGCATGGGAACCACTCGAAAAACACAAAAATACATTAAATAAATACACAACTCGGCTGATGAGGACGTGCAAGTGGAAAGGGCGCAAAAGTTTCTAGTTTCTTACCCAGATATTACTTTATGCTTCTTTTGAAGTGCCTGTGCAAGTCTTGCGCAACTGCCTGGGGCATTAACCCTTCCGAGGGTTAAGGATGAGGCCGCCACGCGCGCAGGACACAGGGAAACCAGGAACTGCCACAGGAACCGGCCAGCCCAAACAACCCCCTTCCCTGCCCGAAACCAAGAGGGCAAATTCGAGGGAAAACGCGGCGGCAGGGGAGGTGAGAGGGGGGTCGGCAGCGCTCTCCCCTTGCAACGCACCTGGCTGCCGAGGCTGCGAGCGGAGATGCCCCAGGAAAGGGGTCCTTGAGGGAAGGGGAGCAGGGCTCCCCGAGGAGCGAGCGCTGTTATTCCAACTACTGGACACCCACGGCCACCCCCTGGCTTCATGGTGGGTGTCTGCCAAAGAAAACCAGCATCACGGAGGAAAGAGCCCGGGCAAGCCATGAAGCGCGCAGCGCCCTTCTCTGTAACGCTGCGACGAGGCCCCGGCTTGGTCTGCGAGATGGAACGGGACAGGGAAGACGCTTGGAAGGCGACATCAACTTRAATGGAAACAGAAACACGAATGGAAGAGGAAAGACCAAAATGGACAGAAAATCAGAGGTGGAAAAATATATTGGTCCTCCACATACACATGTGCCCACGAGTGTACGCGCATTTACAGACGCAGATTTACTTTAACAATGCCTACTTTAATAATGCCTTCCCAAAATATTTTCAAGTGTTTACAATTGCATATCACAAATACAGGCTGAAAATGTAAACAGTCACTTAAGAATATATATATTAAAAAAAAAAATTACATACATACAGATTTCCTGGCCCTGCCTGAAACTGTAAGCTTTGTTCTGAAGACTTTAACGCGTGACTATAATTTAGCGGATGTAAATACACTAAATTATAAATGCACTAAAATGTGGATTTACAAGAAACACAGAAAAGCAGGGTGAAGCCCACAACTGCTTCAGTTCACAGGACACTTCCCAAGGAAACCCGCTTGCCCCTAACTCTTGGTGGGCATCTTGGAGCAGCACCGGAGCACATTGGTTAGATCCCTACAGGCAAAGGCTAGACCAGGAACTGCTCATAGACATTCGGTCTGCAGGATGAGACCAGAAATAATCCAGATCAACTCACTGGACGCGCACACACGCACTCCCAGGGCAGCCGAGGCACGGGCTGTTTTTCTGCTCCCCTCCTCAGGCATCTCAATAGCACTTACAGAGGCACAGCTGAAAGCTCAAACATTATCCCAAAAGCCCAATTCAGAAAGGTAACAAAAGACAAAATTTTCCAAACGACTCTGATATTTTTAAATTCCAGCCTAGGGCATGTCATCTTTTTTTTTCTATAACAATTCCAGATTCTTCTTTGAATTTGCTACAACAGCTTTATGAGGGACTGTGGCTGGTTCAGCTCTGGTGAGCATTTTTTCAAGCCAGAGCGATAAAATCTACACTAGTCATTTCGCACAACAAAATAAAGTCAAGATAGCAGAAGTGTCACAGGATCGATACGTACTGCTTAAAACTAAGCCACCTCAGAAGGTCTGTTTTTAGGCTGATTGCACACACTTCCCTGAAATACTTGGAAACGCCAGCACGCCAAGAAAATTTAATCATGGTGTGGGTGACCTATTGCATAAAGCAGAAATTGCTCTGTGTGGGGGAAAGAAATATATACATGGTAAAGCCCTCCCTGTGTTCATAATCCCAAACCACCAGCTGCAAACACTGGTGATCTGCTGGATCCTCCTCTTGGAGGACAAGCCTATGGCTTATGATTCTCTACTGAATAAGAGACAGTATTAACAGTGAGGTATCCCAGGACCCCTTCATTCAAGAAACATTCTATTTTCACAGTCTTAATATTTTTCATAAGAAAGGTATTTCAAAAGACAAGGGTTTTAATGTCACCACAGAAAGTCCCTAAACTCCCCAAATCTACCAGCCATAAAAGTCAATAGGCAACACACACGGTAAGCTCAACATCTTGTCAGAAACTACATCAGCAACAAACCAGACCAAAAGCACTTCGGGGCCGTTGACAAAACGATCCACTTGTTTAAACTGTAAATTAATGTCTGAGATTAAACAGAAAACATTAAACTATTTTTTTTTCCAAAGACTCTTAGGTTTCTTATCCCAGGGTCCGTACACGGGCTTTGGCTTAGCCTCATTTAGCCTCACCTGCCTCTACTGCTCCATCACATGACTCCAAATACCAAATAACTCAAAAACACCAAGGTGCATCATCTTAGTTCTCCTCCAGAAGCCAAGTTTTCCATATGATTCGCTGTCCTCCCTCTGGAGGACTATTCTCCTTCTTTCATATATTAGGTAAAACTTACAAGCAGCATTAGATGTTGCTTGTTAAAATGAGGTCAAGGTCAGCTATCATTAATACTGATCTGTAGACTAATGGGTACCCAACACCGCAAATCTGACTGAATTTCTCACAAATTATCATTCCACTATGTGTGTTTATGCTAGCTTTGTATTTCTATACTCGGTTTGTGCCAAATGCTGGAGAACAGATGCTGCCTGATATGGCTCATGGCCTGATAGCCCTTTTTTGAACAAACAGGCAGAGAAAGTTTATATATCAGATTAGTGCTTCCTATCTCTTCATCAYGGGTTTAGAATATGTAATAGATTTACTATGGGTATAGTTACCATATTAAACGACAGCCTACGCAGGTAACACTTATGGAGTAAGGTGGATGCTCCAGCATATCGTAACTAGGTAGGGCACCAAAAGCCTGGCAGGCTCTTGGGAAAAATAGTGGTGAATTTAGTTTGGTACCAAATACAATATGTTGGAGGGAATATTCAATGCTCCAGGTAGCTCTGAAATAGGTTTAATTTTSAGCTATAAACAAACAGACTGCTGCATTTATCCATGGAAAACACAAGTCTGGCTACAAAATAAAATGTTGGACAACAAAAATATTGATATTAGTCCCTTTTTTCCCTCTTTKAAAAGAAATACATAAATATTCAGTTTTGTTGGCATGTGTGCACACACAGCAACACCACAACTTAGTGCTGCATACAGATCCTAGAAGAGCTATTAAAAAAGAAATYTAAAAAAAGTAAAATGAAGGTGTGCTTCACCTTTGGAAGTTTTTATTAGGATTCTCCTTCACATCTACATTACCCTTCTTAATAACTAAAGTCTTCTCAGTGGTA